CGCAGCTTGTGGCTGCTCAGCTGGTCRGCACGGTGGCACCGGTACGAGCACTGGTTACACTGGTACCTGCGGGGACAAGCAGAATTGGTCAGGCCGCATAAGGAACCGGGGCAGGCTGAGCTTCGTCAGGCATGCTGAGCTCTCCTCCCCATGCCAGACAGACAGGGAAGGGGTACTGTTTGGTTTGCCAGATCTGACTTTTGCCATCTAGTCAGCTCTTACCATAGGCAATTCCTTCCTGCTGCAGCCCTTAGTACTGCTGGTGCCTTACACCCCTAGCCTAAGGACTGGAGATAGATTCCCTGAGTATTCCATACAATGACTGTGTCAGCCACAAAAATCCTTACATGTGTTACACCAACAGCACTTCCAGCATCCCTGGAGGCAGGCTAGACCCAAAGGAGGTGATAATTTGGCATTCCTGAACAGGCCTTGGCCCACAAACATCAGCAGCGCCATGAACTCAAGCTCAGAGTTGTACCTATGAGATAATATACTTCCTTGGCGGCATAGAGACACCAAAAATACCTTTGATTCCACAGCACCATGCTGGAAACAACTGGCAAGGTCAAAGACCAAATTTTGTCATGTACCAGACAGTCAGGCCAGGCTTGAGAAAACGTGGCATACAATGCAGCCTGGAGAAGCAGAACCCTGGAGCAGGATTTGGGGAGCCTTGGCTATGCTGCTAGGCCAGTAGAGCAGAGTGTCTTACCGAAGATCTCCAGTGTGCTTGCGCATGTGGACATTCAGGTAATGYTTCCACTTGGTGATGTAACCACACTCGGTGCACATGAAGTTCTTGTCGTTGGAGTGGGTCAGCATGTGCTTGGACAGGTAGCTCACATCCCGACACGTGAAGTCGCAGAGCTCACACTTGTGAGGTTTCTCACCTACGTGCAACACACAAATGCCTTCAGCATGACASCCAGATAAAACAACACAGGAGGGAAACCTGTTCAGCAGGGAGCATGGAACAACTTTAACCAAGTGATCCTGGGATGGGCAAAGCTGGTGGTGTAACCCAGGAGCCCTGACCCAGCCATCCCTGCCCACTCAGGGCTAGGACAAAACACCCTCCCCATCCCAGCTCAGCTTTTGGGACCCCTRCAAGGGATACCCACCAGTGTGCAACAGCATGTGACGGATGAGCACCCGCTTGTGCGCRGTGGCGAAGGCACACTCGGTGCACTTGTGGATCTTCTCGTTGGCATGCATCTTGCCCACATGGTCATGAAACTCCACAGGGTTGAAAGTGGCGTAGGGGCAGAAGCTGCACTGGAGCTGCTCGCTGCCTGGGTGTCCCTGCTTCTTGTGCTTGCGGAAAACGTGCTTGTTGGAGCAGATGAAGTCACACTGCTGGCAGTGGAAAGCATAGTGGGTTTTCCGGTGAGCCTCCATGGCCTCAGCTGTGCCAAAGAGCAGTGAGCAGGCATGATACTTGCACTCCACCGCCTTGATGCCATGAGCATCCTTGAGGTGACGGACAAACTCCTTACGGTCCTCTGAACAGTAGTTGCAGTCCGCATGGAAGCAGCTCAGCTTTTTYGGTTCAGTTTTGTGAGTCTTCAAGTGCTCCTTGAGGGCCTGGCTAAGCCGAAACTTCTCCTCACAGACAGGGCAGGAGTAGACATCGGAATAGAAGTTGGAGATGTCCTCATGCATGCTGGCCATGTGGCGGTTGAGGGCGTTCTTCTCCACTGAGCTGTAGTGGCAGAGTGGGCAGCGATGAGCCTTCTCACCTGTCTCCCGCATCATGTGGATTTTCAGCTTGCTTTTGCTGGTGAAGTACTTGTGGCAGTTGGGGCACTGCAGGCTGGGGTCAGGGAAGTGCAGGTGGAGGTGCTCTACCAGGTGTGTCCGCTTCTTGAAGCACCGCTTGCATTCGGGGCACATGTGGGTTTTGTAGAGGTACTCGGAGCCTTCTGCAACATCGCCTGTGGGAACAGAGGAGGGGGAGCAGTCAATAGGGAAAAGATGGAGAGCACAGACTGATGTTCTGTCCCTGATCCAGCTATGCCAGGGTGAGGGTTTACACACAAGTGCAGTCACACAGCAGCCACCTACTTAGAAGGACTGTCGCCACCCCAATCCACCAGCACACTTCAGGTGAGCTCTTTCCAGCTCAGCACAGGCTACGTGCAGCCTACATCAGGCCTTCCCACATGCCCCTGGTCCCCAAAGCCAGAGCGATCTTTCCCTAAACCTGGCAGCGWGCATGAACCTGAAAAGGGACGTATTTGCTTGGGCAGAGGTCAGGGGGAACAGGTGCACTACACATGCAGAAGATGAGAGGTTACCCATCACCCTGGGCCAAATTTCCCTGCCAGCCCTGAGGATGTGGTGCTTGTTCACAAAGCCTGAGCAGGTGCTGGCAGGGCCCTGCATCCTACCTTTGAAGTGCTGTGCCTTTGGCACTCCAACTTTCTTGGGAGGTGCCTTCCCATCCTCTTTGGCCTCAGCTTCACAGGGGCTCTCGCCATCCTCCTCTGGYGATTCATCCCCACTGCTTTCTGAGTCCTCTTCTCCAGCTGATGCTTTCTGCCCCTTCAAGGAGCTGTGCCCAGAACCCACAGACTTTGCTGGCCTTGCTTCTGCTGTGCTGGATTTCCAGCCAGGGTGGCAATTCCCTGCCTTCTCTTGCCCTTCTGATGCTGCTTCAATGGGGAAAGACATGAGATCATCATACTCCAGGCAAGAGGAAGCCACCTCCACACACCCACAAACATGCAGAAAAACCACCTGGCTGAGATGGAGGGCACAAACTATGCTGCAGGGAGGCAGGAATGCATGGTTCCCAGCCCTCCAGCTTCACCCCCCCACCTCCTCCAGCTGGGATGTAACTGGGATGCATGGACACAGCCAGCCTCTGCAGCACCCACAGTCCCCAACCCCCTACCCAGTCATACCCGATGGCAGCATGCAGCACTGTTCAAGACTGTGAGAGTCTGAACTAGGGAGGTTGCCTGTTGTGGGCATCTCAGAGGGGGATTCCATGGTGTGACTCTTCCTGTGCTGCCAGAAGAGCTTGGCATTGGCTGTGACAAAGTCGCAGTGGCCACAGTGGAAGGGAAAGTGTGTCCGGTGGTGCTGTTCCATGGCCTGGCGGCTGGGGAAGAGCAGCGGACAGGCCCGGCAGGCACAGGACACGGGGGAGGCCCCGTGCAGGTGACGCAAGTGGCTGCGCAGYTGCTTGCGGTCCTCTGTGGTGAAGTGGCAGCCCCTCTCGGGACAGGGCAGGGCTCCTGATGGGGTACGGTGGGTCTTGAAGTGCTCCTTGAGTTGGCCAGGCTGCACAAATGCCTCCTGGCAGATGGGGCACAGCAGACGCTCGGGAGCAGAGCTCTCCTGTGTGCTGGCTCTGGAYAGCTCTGAGCTCCCGGGCTCACTGTGGCCCTCGGTGACAGAAGCCAACAGTGTCCCTGGGAGTTCCAGGTGCTCTGKGGGGGACAGCAGCAGGCACTGGTGCTGGGAGAGCAGGGAGGCCTCTGAGAAGCTCTGGCCACACCGCTCGCAGAAGTACAGCTCCACCACTTTGACCAAAACCTCTGCAGAGAGCAAGGCGTGAGTGTTAGAAAGGGCTTTAGAAAGGCCCAGAGCTTGTAACTGGTGGTTCAGTTCCAGCTCTGCACAAGAATAAACCTCTCTTGCCACAAATTATATTTTGGGAATGTCTCCCATAARAGATGGAATACCACCACCCAGATGACCACCATAACCAGGTCTGTCYCTTGGCACTTTTGAAGCATGCAGAGATGAGAGGCTGGCCTGGTCCCATTCCTAGTAGGATGTGCCCACACTTGACCCACGTGGGAGGCATGCTGGGGGACTGCAGTCCAGGTGGAGATCTCTGCCTGCTCCCTACTGACAGCCTGAAGTACCCCCTCACACAGCATGCAAATCTTCCCATCTACACACCCAGCTGGTGCCAGRTTTGAACTTCGTGGTGGCACCAGACTCATAATGTACGGTCAGAGACCTGAGGGCAATGGGGACAAGGACCCTGGCCAGACCTCTCTCCCTCTGCACAGTGCAATGGGGCCCATTCTGTGCTCCCTGCACCCCATACCTGTGGCACTGGTCGAGTTGCTCAGCGTCACATTGCCAGCCACTGCTTCGATGAGTATTTCCACATTGCTTCCTTCAGCGTGAGCCCCTTCCCCAGGCATTGATGCTTCTGCCAGCAGCAAGTCCTGGCTAGCAGCCAGTGGGGGTGTCCCAGCCAGACCAGTGCTGGCCACACCAGGGCTTCCCACAGCTCCCACCTCTCCTGGTGTGGGCAGGAGCAGCTCGGAGCACAGGGCCTCCATCTCCCTGCTGGCACTCTCTGACACAGTCACTGCTGCACTCATTGCCACCTGGCTCTGCCTTGGTGCTGGGCAGGATGGCCTCTCAATCTGAAACAGAAGARGGCACTTTAAACGAGGGACATCGCAGAGGTGAAGAGGATTTTGGGGAGCAGCCTGTAGTGCCAGTCGTGGGGCAGGGTATCTCAGGGCTGGATCCTTTTTGCTGTGCTCCAAACGGGCCCCTGGCAAGCCCTGTCATGAGGCAGACGAGAGTGCAAGGACACMTGTACCCTCTCCCCGAGCCCAACAGCCAGGGCTTGCTCCCTGGGTGCAGCTGGACGGATCCCGAAGCCCACTCTCAGAGCTATRCCCAGTCTCCGGCCAGCAGGCGCCCCCACGAGTCCCGCCCGGCCAGGCCCCCCTCCAGCTCCTCGTCCTTCACCCCGGGCTGTCCCTGGCGCCCCCAGCCCCTCATCCCAGGCTGCTCCCGGCTCTCCCAGCCSGTCACTCCTCACCCCGAGCTGTCTCGCACGTCCCAACCTCTCGCCCCTTACCCCGGGCTGTCCCCGCCGGCCCGGGTGTCCCTGTCCCGGCACATCTCGGTGGTGGTGTCGGGCGGCGAGAGCGCCGCCCTTTGTGCCTGTCGCGCAGCCGCTCTGCCCGGCCCCGCTCTATGGTGCGGCCGGAAGCGGCGCGGGCGGGAGCGGAAGCGGCGCGGCGCAGGTGAGCGGTGGCGGCGGCGGTGGCATCGGCACCGGCCGGACKGGGGGTGAGAGCGGCGCGGCTGCCCCCGTGGAGCGGCCGGGGTTGGGCCTCCGCTGCGGGGAAGGCCGCTGTGGATCTGGGTGTTTTGCAGGGGGAAGGTGGGGCTCCTGCTGGGGGGAGCTGCGGGACCATGCCCACGGGACGCTGTGCTCTGGGAAGGAGGAAGGTCACGCCTTGTTTTAGTGGAAGTGGAGTTCTGCACGTGGGGGAGCAGAGCGTGTTTCTGTGTGTCTGGCGGGGAAGGCTCCCCCTAGTTCCMGGTAGTGACAGACTTGCAGAGGGAGCTGGAGAAGCTTCAGGCCCCCGGAGCATGCGGCTATYATCCAGACATGGAGGTGCGCCTTCCACTACAGTCGTGTGCCCGTTCTCAGCAGCAAAGACCCGGCTGTCGGCCTAGCCTGGGGATGTCCTTCAGCTTTTTCAAAAGATAAACCTTAAAATAATTGGAGTGCTCATGATTTCTAGCCGTTTAAAGAATAAAACCCTGTAAAACTCTGGGCTTGTTGTCTTGGCTGAAAAAGCCAAAGATGCTCCCGTGCTTCTCCAAGAGCCTTCCAGCCCCCTCCTGCTTGGCTYGCCCAGTGGTCTGCAGAGAATGAGGAGGCTCCTGCAGCCAGCCGCTGTCTGAACCCTTGGTAATAAGCACAGATTTGGGAGATCCAAGTATGCCAGACAGCCTATTCCCTTGAGGACTGGCCAGGGAACTGTGGGTGATCCATTGTGTTCCTTGCTACCATTCAGTCTTTCCTCACAGGTGTGTTTCCGGAGCACAGAAACAATGCTGTGGAAAGGAGCTGCCTAACCTTTCACAATGCCCTTTTCTGACTTCGTCTTAGCACTGAAGGACAACCCGTATTTTGGGGCTGGGTTTGGCCTYGTTGGGGTGGGCACAGTCCTGGCAGCAGCCCGTAAGGGGGCCCAGTTTGGGTTGGTGGCTTTCAGGCGCCACTATATGATCACCTTGGAGGTGCCCAGCAAGGATAAGAGCTACCAGTGGCTGCTGAACTGGGTCTCCCACCATGCCAAGCACACGCAGCACCTCAGTGTTGAGACGTCGTACCTGCAGCATGAAAGTGGGCGTGTCAGCACCAAGTTCGACTTTGTCCCCAGCCTCGGGAATCATTTCATCTGGTAAGGGAGAGTGGGGGAAAGCAGTTTGGGGACTGASCCTCACTTTGGCAAATTGGGGGGCCTGTAGAGGCAGTGGAGAGGATCCTGCCTCCTCTGTGGGTCTGGGTTAGAGCAGGAGATTGAGTAACTCAGCATTGTGAAATTATTTCCTTACCTGAAATGAGTGTTCTTGATGCATGAACCAGGTGAGGCACAGCTGAGTGGTGCTGTATCACTGTGCCCCCACCTGTCTTCCTGCCCCAGGTATCGCAAGAAGTGGATTCGTATCGAGCGCAGCCGGGAGACGCAGATGATTGACCTGAACACGGGGACCCCCTGGGAGTCTGTCACCTTCACTGCACTGGGCACTGACCGGGAGATCTTCTTCAATATCCTTCAGGAAGGTCTGTAGGGGAACTATGTGTAGTCCTGCTGGGAACAGCCTACTCCCTGGAGATACCCAGGGCTTCACAAGAGATCCTCTTCCCTGGCAGCTGTCCCTTCTGCCTCTCTCTGCAGCCCGGGAGCTGGCGCTGCAGCAGCAGGAGGGGAGGACGATCATGTATACGGCTGTGGGAGCAGAGTGGCGTCAGTTCGGTTTYCCCCGCCGCCGCCGGCCCCTCAGCTCCGTGGTGTTGGACCAAGGCGTGTCAGAGAGGCTGGTTCAGGATGTCAAGGACTTCATCAGCAACCCCAAGTGGTACATTGAAAGAGGCAAGGCTCTGGTGTGGCGTGCTCTGTACGGTGTGGGGTGAGACAGGGTGCTCGTGGTCCTCTCTGGAATTGGCTGTGGAGAGCTTTTTCCCTGCTGTTTGCCTTCCCCAGGTGTATCTATCCTCTTTGCATGCTCAGCACAGCACCGCAGCTTGGAGGGAGGTAGCACAGAACAATCCAGGTGGTTATCCTAAAAGAACACTGTCTTCTTAGGGATCCCCTACCGAAGAGGCTACCTTCTGTATGGTCCTCCTGGCTGTGGGAAAAGCAGTTTTATGTGAGTATTGCTGGCTGGCAGACAGCAGTTTTCCCACCAGCTGCCTGCTCTTGACCACACCAGTCCTGGATGAGAGGGTGTGGATGAGTTTGTGTTTGGAATACAGAAGTGCACTGTGCCTTACATGTAGTGCCTATGGTAAACATTTGCAYTGCTGACACTGTGACAGGTCAGTGTGTTAAGCCTTTTGTGCCCTTGCTCTGCATAGTGCTGCATGGCATGGGTGGGCTGAGCAGAGGCTTCCACCYGCCTCTCATATCTGATCCCTGCTGGGAAAGGACTCCTCTGTCCTCYCCCCTGCTGCTGGGTGGAGAAATCTGATTTTTTCCTGAGTCCAGGCTTTCCCACTCTGATTAACCCTTGTGGTTGTTCTTTCCAGCACAGCCCTGGCTGGGGAACTGGAGTACAGTATCTGCCTGCTGAGCCTCAGTGACCATAGCCTCTCTGATGACCGGCTCAATCACCTCCTGAGTGTGGCACCACAGCAGAGCATCATCCTGCTGGAGGATGTGGATGCTGCCTTCATCAGTCGGGACCTTGCTGCTGAGAGTGAGCACTGCCCCTGTTCCTGGGCCRGCAGCAGGAGGGAGGTTCCCTGGCTGTATTGGGGAAATGTTCGGACCTGGGCTGCTCAACTGCACCCACAGAGACCAGTAGGAATCTCTCAGCCCTCAGGGCCCAARCTGGAACTTGTCCAGCTTTGGCTAGGCTGTAGAGGGAACTTTGGGTTCTTTATCCTTGGGCGACAATCCTTCTCCTACCCAGCTACTTTCAGCATGAGGGAGAAGGTGGCTTTCCCTTTCATTCTCTGTGTTCCCATGGATGTGTGTGAGCAGGGGACATGMATGTGCTGCCAGCCAGGCAGAGGGCCAGCCTCTAGGCAAGGAGGAGTCCTATCACCTCATAAGCCTGAGGTGATAGGAACGTGGCCTTGCAAGCCAGCAAAGGGTTAGTGGCCAACGGGTATGATCTCAGACACCTCTGTTTSCAGACCCGGCTGTGTACCAAGGCATGGGGCGCCTGACCTTCAGTGGTCTCCTCAATGCACTGGATGGTGTGGCCTCCACAGAAGCCAGGATTGTCTTCATGACCACCAACTATGTGGACAGGTCAGAGCTGCCCCCTGGGAGGAAATGGGGTGGGCTGCACAGAAAAACCTTGCTCCCTTTTGCTGGGCTTTATTTGTTGAATCCTCAAGCATGAAGATTAGGGGTTCATGTTTCCCACATTCTCCCTTGTGATGCAAATCCCTTGTTTGCTAATCAGGATCCATTTTGCTGTAGTCTCAGATGCCTACTTGCTGTTCAGAACATGGTTGTGCCCTTCAGGAGTGGTACCAGCTTCCTGTCCACGGGAAGCTGCCCATTTTGGGGCTGTGTTCATGCTGTGAGTGAAGCACTGGTCCCATGTTCAGCCCATTGGGTTGATGGGATGCAGCCTGGGCTCATGGTACCTGGACAGCTGCACTATGGTAGGCTTGGCTCACTCACTGAGCCGAGGGTGTTGTTCAGAAATTGCTCATGGGACAGAGATGGGCAGAGCTGTTTCCCAAGATATTCTTGTCCTCCTCTGGCATCAGTCCTTCCCCAGCTCTCTCCTTTTGGGTTGATTTTCCCTGTCGATCTTCCCAGGGATGAACCTGTTCCCCCATTTACCATCTCACAGTGCATGGCACTTTACAGATAGGTCATGGGCTRTGCTAGTGTGGATAGGATCTTCCTGCAGGACCCACCCTGCAGACATACTTTTCAGACAAGATTTTCCAGGCCCTCCCTGTGTCTCTTGACAGGCTGGACCCAGCCTTGGTGCGCCCTGGCCGTGTGGATCTGAAGCAGTACGTGGGCCATTGCTCCCGCTGGCAGCTCGCCTGCATGTTCCAGCGCTTCTACCCCGAGCAGCCCCCGGYTGCAGCCCAGCGGTTTGCGGAGCAGGCGCTGGCGGTCTCCAAACAGATCAGCGCTGCCCAAGTGCAGGGTCACTTCATGCTTTACAAGACGGACCCTGAAGGAGCCACTTCAAACATAAGCTCCAGCCTGCTGTGACCAGGGGYCAGCTTTCCCTTGTGACACTGAGAGGACTGGGACAAAGATGTGACCATCCTGGGGATGCCACAAAGCTGCCCAGCTGCACCGGCCAGGTCTCTGTTCACCTCTACCCTCCAGTGCCTTGGTTTTGGAGAACCAGGGCTGCCAGCCTTGCAGCAAGGGAGGGAATCTGGCTCTTGGCGCTCTCCAGACTTCGGTGCTGCTGCACCAGCCCTGCTCACCAGTGTGTGCCTCGTGTTGGGGTTGCTGTAAATTGCCAGGGCTCTTGGGTGTGAATTCCCTTCCTTKTGGGTCAGCCTGGGGGTGCCCCAGAAGGCCATTTCCTTTGGGCAAGACAYTGGGGTTCTACACTGCTAAAAGCTGCTGGTTTTTTTAAAAGACAGTGGTCTCACTGGTTTGTGAATATCCTCTGTGAAGTGCACAACACAGCTCTTGTCTCTCTGGTCCCTTTTCCTGTTAGTTGCTCCACTATCTAGCTGCTGGTCCAGAGCMCTCCTGACCAGGGCCTGGCAAGGCCACTATTGCAAATTCAGAGTGTTTCTGAAAAAAAACAAACAGCTCCTATGAGACAACTCGTCCCTCAGGCTCTAGGCTRGGGCCACTGCTCCTGCTGAGTTATGATGTCCTGCTGAGGTATGATGCCAAGCTACAGATCTGCTTGGATATTGTTCCTAGGTGGCCATGACTGTCCTTCCCACCAGAGGAGATGTGGGGCCCAGGAGCTATGTGATGGCAGATGAGAGGCTTTGGCCAGTTACAGCATATCTTAACAACAGCTGTCCCATCCCAGTCCCCTTTTCAGACTCCTGAAAATCAGTTTCCCTAGAGCCAGTCTTACGATAAAGCGGTCAGTTTTGGGAGCTGCAACACCTTGCTGGGGCTGGGCAAGTGGGTTCCAGGCCAAACCCAAATTGCAGGTCACTGCTTAGGCCTCCTCTTGGCTCTGCCCTGCAGGGCCAGGAGAACACAGCAGTACACAGGGGCACAGCCAATGGCCCTTGGATGGATTTTGGTGCAAACAGGCAGTGCTTTGGTGCAGCCCCATACTTGCACAAATGTTTCTGCAAGTGAAGGAGCAGGATGCTGCTGGTTGGCATCTCAAACTTTGTGTTTGGCCATCCTGCAGAGGATGGCTGCTCAGTTCAGCCTCTCCCCTCAAAGCTAGGGGTCAAAACTGACCAGTGAGTGACTGGCAAATAYCTCCGAGGTGTCTGGGAGATGGGGAGTGGTTGGTGGGGGACCTGATACCACCACATGCAACATGTTTCACTCTGCTTGCTTTTAATAGTGTTAATGCTACAGACGCTGCMGGTGCCTTTCTGCCCGGCCCAAGGGCTTTTACCAGTTAAGCCTCACAACAGCCTTGTGAGGTAGGTGATTGACAGAGGCAGACACCAAGCAAGGAAGCCAGGTCAGCGTGCAGGCTGTGTTGCTCCCCTCTGACCTGGACGTTTGTTTATCCCAAATTAATTTCCACATACTGTTGCAAAGTGCCTTCTGCTCCAGGGTAACAGCAGTGAGTCAGAGAGGGCCCTTTCTAAAACACTATTTCCAGGAAAAAACCCTTCCCTCTAACACATCTGGCATTTGATTGAAGTTATCCAAGTCCTCACTCACTCTGATTTCCATGGCTGAATTCCCATGCTCCAGACATGGCACAGCAACTTCCCTGCTGAGAGTAATCCTGGCTTGCTGGAGGAAGCCAAGGAGTTTCAGCTGCTGTGAGTGGCAGAGAACTTCCATGTTTCTTTCAGGACACAACCAAATTTTTTCTTGGAGCACAGCAGTTTCACCAGTGAAGGCAGGAAGCAGCAGAACAAGCACCACTATCAGGCAAAGTTTGYGCCTTTTCACCCAAGTGTGGGCAGGCCATTCCACCAGCTGAACAAGGACAGAGGGASCACTGAAGAAAAATTAGGGCTCTCTTCAGGGTGCGAGTGCTCAGCCCTCATCCACAGGAGGGCACATCTGGTTCTCAGGTCACCTAGTCCAGGACAGGTAGTGTAGGCTCAGGCCAAAAAGGGAGAAAAATAGTAATGATTTTAGAGCATTGGGGTTGAAAATAGACCAGGGTTGGAAATTTAAGCACAGAAGGTTCTTGAGCAGCAGGTTAAATCAACCCCTTCAGGTCAAGACYGAGGCATTGAGTAAGCAGGGAAGCAGGTGAGGAGTTCCTAGTCAAGAAAGGGGTTTGTGCAACTTCGTGTGCCAAAGACCAGCCAGACGGGTTTGGCAAATGCCCTCGTGGCACACATAGCAATTGGTTTCTGGGGATCTCACATGAAGTTCCAGCAAGTCCATTGTGGCACTGCTATTTTTGCACTTTAAAGAGGAAGACAGTAACAACCCATGTGTGGCGAAAAAAGAGGTGGAGAACAAGGCACAAACAAGTGTGAAGGAATCCCTAYTGTCCAGGTGWGGCAGAGAGCTTMCACTGAGCCAGGTAAAGCAAGAAGCCCTCCTGCCACCCAGGAGTGCCAGGGGAAAGTCTCTGCCTCAGTTCTGGTTGTAGGGAACAGGGAAGGAATTGAGAAATACCGGGGCTCAACACCTTTGCTCCAAACAGCAAWAAACAGGAGCAAGAGGGCAGAGGAAACAAAGGGAGCAGGCTCTGGAGAAGACCCAACAAATTAATTTAATAGCAGTGCCCCACTTCAGAGGCCTGGGATCACCTTGTGTGGCTTTGGAATGGAACACCATTTAAATTTGCGGAGCAGCAGCAGATGGAACTGCACCAAGTTATTTTAAACAGCAAATCCTCATTTTGAAGCAGTATCAGYTTGAAGATGAAAGTGGGGTAGCAGTATCCAAAGTACTGGGACATGTCTTCACTTCCAGGTTGTAAGAAGTGCCAAGAGGCAGCCTGGCCTTAGAGGGAGATTCTGACATACAGGTTTACAAAGCAGAGTGCTCTCTTCCCAGGGGAAGTGGRAGCCAAGGTGAAGCCTTAGCCACCAGACAGCTGTGACTTGCCCATGTGTTGACTTAAGCTAACCTGGATCTCCTGTCTGGGAGTGGGAAGTGTCCTCTGTAAAATGGACTTGCCTGGCTGATCCCAGCAGTTGAGAATGTGCTCTGAGAAGGAATGGGGGACAGAGTGAGTGGAGCTGAGCTCCAGGCTACTGCTTGGCACAGCCCCATCACTTGGCACCACTGCAGTTCCACTGGCACATTGGCTGCCAGGGGAGGTCTTGCCTTTTGGCTCTACCATGGCACCATGCTGGACTCAGTCCATTTACTCTGTAGGTGTGCACATTTCTTGGCATTTCACCTATAGGGATGATGGCTGCAGATCCCTAGTCAAAGCTAACTCTGTCCCCTGGATCCTCTGAGACCAAGGCTGATATAATCTGTCAAGGTTCCTATGCTGGTGACAGCCAGCTGATCAGGATGCAGACTGAAACTCTGGACAAACCCTGGTGATCCCAAGTGCCATACTGCTTATACCAAGCACCATCTGCCTCATCCCTTCTAAGGGGTACAGTATCTGCTTGCTACTGCTTCACCAGAGCCTTCACTGTTCTCCCCAGAAACAGCCTTTTCCCCCAGCCCAGCCCCTGATCATTTCTGCTAGGAGCCACTCTCCTTCTCAAGATGGGCTTCTCGATGTCCACTGGGCCTGAACACACCTCGCCCTCTTGGTGCTCTGGGGTAGGAACCACGCTCCTGAACTCTGGACCTCTCCCACCTCCCACAATCCCAAGGCCTATGGTGGCCCTGCCAGTTGGAGGCAGCTTTGTGGTCACTGCGGTTCAACATCAGGTTCTCCTTTTTCCTGCCCCGGGCCTCAGTCGCCTCCTCTGTGCTCCATTTTTCCATGTCACGGTGCTCCTCTTTAAAGTCCACAGCCTCCTTTACTGGTGAGGGGTCTTCAGGGCACAACTCCTTTCTTTCAGCCAAGGGAGCAGCCCTGCTTCTACTGTGAGGCTTTGAAAACTCCTGGCTGTGCCGTCCAGCAGGTCTCCGCCCCGGTCTYTGGCTGCAGGCCCTGGGCCCCCTGGAGTCATGGAGTGGATGACAGGCTTCCTCTCCTGGTTCCTGCGAGCCACTGCACAGCTGCCTGGCCTGGCCTCTGGAGCCTGGCCTCTCCCCTCTGTGCCTCTCCCTCTTACTCAGTTGCTCTCTGCGCACAGCAGGCCTCTCGGGCTGCCTGGGCTCCACCCTGGCATCCAATGCCCCAGCTGGCTCAKGAGCTGAGGCTTGGCTGGGAGGCTGGGCCATGTTCTCAGCGTGGACACTCACCGACAGCTCAGCGGCAGTGGCTGCTTGGCCTGGATCCACAGCAGCTGGAGGCTGAAAGAAAGAAGCCACTAGTGAAGAAAAGGATAGGGGGGTCCCAGAGCAGATGACGGTGCTTGCTCCTGCAGCCCAGAGCCCCCTGGGCAGCTCTCTGCCCCCAGTGCCATACCGCCTGGAGGCTGATGAAGTATCGGTTCCTCTCTGCCTCAGGGTCGATGATTCCCCCTTTCTCTTGCTGTCTCTTGAAAATCAGGCGCAGTTCTTCCTGGTGCTGCAGCACCTTGGCATCTGGCCGGTACGGCTCCTGGGCGGAAGAAAGCGAGACAGGTTAAAGCCTCTCTCAATACTTAGCATGGATGGCAGCAGCAAGGGTGGGAACTACTCCCCAAACTCTCCTYTGATTGCATAGTGCCAGGCAACCTGCTTCCTTTTGCCACACTGACCTACAGGTCTACAGATGCATGGGAAATCACTGGACAGAGGTAGAGCATTCCAGGTCAGACCCACCATTGCTGAAGTGACTGCCTTGGGACATCCTGCTGTGGGGATGTAGCAAAGCAGCTACAATCCCAGTGAGAATCCCAGTGAGTGCAGGGACATTTCCCTCAGCACATCTGCTCMGCTCAGGGCTACACAACTGAACGTGCTCTCTGTGAGCTGCCTTTTGGATGGGACATCTATGAGAACTTGGTACATGCATTCATCCCTTACAATGTCCCAGTTAAAGCGACCCAGTGAGAGGGCACAGCTGGGCAGGTGAGTCCCCATCTCTTACCAGAGGGTGCTGAGGGGGTGGTGCTGCCTTCAGAGCACAGAGGTCATAGACCAGGGTCTCCCGGCAGACGGGGCACTGCACACCAACTTCCTGTGAGAAGGCAAGAGGTGAYAGCAAACCCTCCAATCCAGCTTGTGCTGCCCCATAACCCCAGCCTGAAAGTGGAACAGGGTGGTCTTCTTTACTCTTCTGCCAAGTTAGGGAAGCCCAGAGGGGTTCCAGCAGCATGCAAGCAGCCTTAGGTCTCAGCAACTGCCATGGAAGGTGTTACCACATGAGGCATGCTGGGATTTGTGCTCCAGCAGCTGAYTGCTTTACAAAGAACTCCTGTCAACATGTATCCTCCTTAGCCTAGGATCTATTTTTCTCTGCTCCAAGGTGCTAGGCAGCACCTCTTTGAAAGGATTTGTAGGAAGGAGCCTTTGACTTGTCCCATGCTCAGCTGTGCTGTTTACTCTGCATCTGACAACTGTTCCAACACGTGAAAGGCAGGTTTTGTCACCCCAGAACACAGGTGTTCGTGTTTACCTTGCTGTAGCCCCCCACAGTTCAAGGACTAGGACTATGAAAGGAGCTCTCTTTTCTAACTCCCGTGGTTCCAGAAGTCTTAAAATGCAACTCCCTTGTCCCTGCACACAGCAGGCACTGACCTAGGGATTCAATAAACCAACTTGTTKGGTTGGAAAGGACCCTTGGAGATAACTTAGTCCCTGCTCTGGTTCTCAGCACATGCACAACACTGACTGTGCTGCTGGGTCACAGTAGCCCTTGGTCCATGTCCCAAAGAGGGTAATACAGATATAGTGAAGGTCTGTGCAGGGGGCCAGGGAAGGGGGCCCAATACCTCTTTGGGGGATTGTGCAAGGTGCTGCTCTCTCTCCTCCTGCTGCATGAGGATCTCCTCCTCCATGTGCTGGGCATAGCGGGCCAGACAGTGGGAGTGGAAGTAGTGGTAGCACTGTGTCTTTGTGAAGGCTTCTTTCTCCTGTCAAGAGAAAAGGGCATCTTTGAAAGATACCTGAACAAAGGGTTGTGTAATCTCCCAGCAGATGTGTCTTCACTTCCACATCAGTGGTGGCCATGGGGAACTAGTGCTAGTGCTAGCAGAACCACCTATCATCTGTTAGGCTGCATTTCCATTCCCTCAGCAATTACTGGGATGCTGCTCTTTGTTTTGAATATTAAAAATACTCCTAATGGCAAGATGCAAAGTTTTTATGACTGATTTCTCCACATGTTCCTGTGTAACCAGCAATCTTCCCAACTGATGTGTTCTCCTTCTTAGGCAGGTGCCGACTTTCCTTACAASCTGGACAAGGCCAGCTTTCCTGTCCCCAGATCTCAGCACCTGTGTGGATTTGTTCCAGTCCCTCTGACCACCTGAACTCCAGATGGGGTGTGACCAACACATGGAAGCTGAAATGCACCATCAACTAGCCCCAGATGCTACACTTTGAGATGCTCCAGTATCTCTCGCTGCCCATGTGCCCATTTTCTGCAGATGATTATCTAGAGGTTGATGGGGAGAGCAGTGTGTATCGCCCTAGGAAGGGCACTGTGCAGTCAGATCACCCACAGAACAGGGGCGAGGAGGCTGCTGGGGCACATTTTGATCCCAGACTGATATCCCAGCCTCAGACTCCCTGTTCTCTTGCCTCACTTCCCAGTCAGTTTGCAGGGTCAGGAGACAACACCTACCTGGAATCCATAGAGGCAGATCACACATTGTCCTTGAGGAATATTGTTGTCAGTGAGGATTTCCTTTCCCTTCTGTGAAATCATTAAAGCAAATATTTTGCTCACTGGCCTGCCCATGGGCTCAGGAATGTCCCACCCCTTGAGCAGTTAAGGATCAGTGTCTGTGGCTGGTCACCCCCAACCTCCTCCATCTCTCACCTCAATCAGTTCATAGAGCACTTCTGTCCCCAGCCTGGCTTCAGCAACACTTCTGAGGGTCTGGGAAATCCTACAGCAAAGCAACAGAAATCCTTAATGCGAATTTAGCGACATCTTTTCACTGTCCCACATACCTGCCATCCTGTCATGATGACAAGAGGAAGAAAGAGAGCACTGGCCTTCAGGCTTTGCTTGAAGCACAGGATGGGCACATGTGCACACACATATTCACATGCTGTCCTGCCTCCCCACAAGCCTGTGCATAGGAAGCCTTTGTCATAACAGGACTTGCAAGAGAAGGTTTGCTGACAGCCTCAGCTTGAGATCACCCAGCACCCTTTGGTTTCGGTGAATCCTGGGATTTTTTATCTGACAGCAGCCTCTGAGCAGGTGTGGTGGGAGTCACATCCTCCTGTGCTGCTGGCAGGCACCAAGGTCTCTGGACATTCCACTGCACCAAGGACCAAAGCATGAAGGCAACAATGGGCTGCCCAAGGACTTGGGTCCRTCCCATGTCTGTCAGGGCAGGAATAGCAGCTTTCAAGGACCCGGGGATTCAAATTACATTTCAGGGGGACCACAAGGTGGACCCCTCTATGTCATATTCTGCTCCCGTGGCTCCTGTGAGATTTATGACAGTGATTTAGGGACCTGTATCCATCTGTTAGACATGTGAATTAAAGAAGCCATGTGAATTAAAGAAGGTTTGTCCACCAGTTCTGCCTCCCGCATCTCCGTGGGAAAGGATCACCCACTCCCCACCCTCCTAGCACTCACTTTTGAATTTGCTCATCTGATAGCCCCCGCGGATTTCTGATGGAGATCTCCGGAGCTTCATCAGGATACTAAGATAAAAGAGAAACACCCACAGCACARCAAGGAAAGTGGAGAGGCCCGAGGCCGGGAGGAGCAGGGATGCGGGGTCGGCGGGCAGCCTACCTGAGGGGGCACGGAGAGCACCAGGGTGAAGCGGACATACTGGGACTCCTGGTCCTGGGCCGTGGCAGGGTGCAGGGTGATGCTGATCTCCCAGGGCTCCCACCTGGAGAAAGGACAGGGGTAAAGGGGGCGGCGCGGGGCCGGGCCGGGGATGGGGAACGCGGGACGTACCTGCCCAGGCCCCGCGCCACCCGCAGCTCCTCCAGGTAGATGGACTCCAGCACCTCCACCTCCGGCGGCAGCGCCCTGCGGGGACCGACCGGGCGGGAGTCAGACGGCCCCGGCGCGCTGGGGGTGCGGGGAAGCGGGAGTACGGGGACSGGGGAGGGTGCGGAGACGGGGGTGGGTGCGGGGACGGGAGAGCGTGCAGAGAGCGGGGAAGGTACGGGGGCTGTTACCAGTCCGTCGCCTCCGCTTCCTCAGCGGCCGCCGCCATTTCCCCGCTCGCCCCGGAAGCGGAAGCAGCAGCACGGAGCCGTTGCCCGGCGACGCTTCGGCGGCGGGGCCGGGGCAGGAGCGGAGCGGGCGAGGTTCATCCTGCGGCGGGATTGCTGCACCAGGGCTCGGGGCTCGTCCTGCYGTGGAGCCGGTGGGCAGGAACAAAGCCTGGGGCGTGAGGGGACACTCGCCCAGGGGACCGGGTACGGGGTGCAGCCCCGCCGGAGGGGAGGTGTCCGTGGAAGGGGAAACGCTGCTCCTCACTGGCCGCTTTGCCTCGGCAGGTCAGCGGCCCCGTCCCGAACGATGGAGAGCTACCACATCCTGGAAATGATCGGCGAAGGCTCCTTTGGGCGGGTGTACAAGGGGCGCCGGAAGCACAGCGCCCAGGTGAGGGGAGAGGGTCGGGGGTCTGCTGTATGGGGCCGGGGCTGATTTCTGGTGTCTCTTGGGGCCTTTGGGACTCAGCATTGATTCGGCTTCCTGCTGACATTTCTGACCAGCTCCTGCTGGCACTGAGTCGTCTGGATTCAAGGGACACCAGGAGCGACCTCAAGACCTCAAAGCAGGGCCAGCACTGTGTTTAGATCCTCTAAAACCCTGAGACAAACACCCCACAGATGGTGCCTGACTATTACTAGGATGAATGTGTTTTCCTCTTACCAAGTCGAATCTCCCTCTGTTTCAATTTGTAATCATTGTATTGTCCTCCCATATGYTTCAGTCCCCTCACTATCATGGGTCTCTCTGCTATATCCACTCCAGCATACTGATGTCTTTCTGGGCCAAAAACCTGACTACAATATTGCCAACATGGTCTACAAGGTTTGAAATAAAGGCCCAGAATTACTTCCCTGCAGTTCCTGACTGTTGCTACAGCACAGGGTGTGCTGCTACYGCTCCTCATTTCCAAGGCACACTACTGGCTCATGTTAGGCCTCTTGTTCACCAGCATCTCTAGGTCCTGTTCCATGTTTYTGAAGTCCTGGTTTTATCTTTATCTGAAGATTACASTTCTTTCCTTTAAATAACAGTGTGAAAAGAAGTGTGAGCACCAGTATTGTTGTGCAAGGGCCTGGGAAGAGCCCCAGGTCCAGGAGGCCAATGAACAAATGTCTCATTGCTCTGTTGCCTGTGTTCAGCTGGAAAGTACTGAGCCCTGTTTGGATTCTAACTGGGAGCTTGGTCTGATGCCAGCTATTCTTGCTTTGAAAGGTGGTGGCCTTGAAATTCATCCCCAAGGTGGGGCGGTCTGAGAAGGAGCTGAAGAACCTGCAGCGGGAAATTGAGATTGTGAGAGACCTCCATCACCCCAACATCATCCAGATGCTTGACAGYTTTGAGACTGCTAAGGAGGTGAAGGGGATTACTCCAGGCAAAGGCTTTTGCTTGACTGGGGCAGGGAAACAAGGGTTGTCTTCTGCTGTTGAAGGGAYATCTTTCTCAGGAGATGCTGGTGACTTCATCCCAGGGTCTGGTTAGTGTTTTTCAGAGCCTTTTAGTATGTGCCATGTGGGGAGCCAACACCTGTGGGGSCTGTGTGGGCTGCACTAGGACATAWGCWKAGGTGAAGGAGCTGACCAGGGGATGATGCAGGAGGAGTGGTTTGAGATCAYAGCATGAGGGTGACTTTTCACTCATCACTTCAGAGACTGGCTTTCCACTGATTTAAACTCTCATGGATAGAATATAAGAGAGGATTAAAGACTGTTCTATGGGGCATGAGAACATGAAATAAARTAATTGGACTACAGATTCAAAACAAGCTCAAGGGAATGATTCTACCCACTGGGCTTGTAAGTACCATTCTATGCTTGTCCTGTCCTTTCCTCTTCCCTTGTTTCTGATGGCTCTCTGAGATACAGACAGCTACAACACCTCTGCAAAGTGCCAGGTCCTTGCTGCAGTGCAGCCATGGGAACTCTCTTCCATTCCAAGTCCCATSCCAAGCTGATGGATTATGCATGATGACAACCCAACACTTCTCTCAGATTTCTTACCCTGCTCTGTCCTGGTCCCCAGGGCCTAATCTCACCATGCTGTTCTTCCCTCCAGGTGGTGGTAGTGACTGACTATGCAGAGGGAGAGCTGTTCCAGATCCTGGAGGATGATGGGAGTTTGCCCGAGGAGCAGGTGTCTATCATGGCAGCGGCCACGCAGTGTTTGCTGCAGGCTGGAGAAAATAGGACTTGTCTGCCTGCAGGCAGAGAGTCTCTGCTGTGAGCCAGGGGATGTCAGGAGGGTGAGGGTGCCTCTGGGGCTTTACCTGTCAGAGCTTCTGAAAAAGATGGAGAAGGGGCCAAGTTAGCATTCTGGGACACTGAGGTCCTGCAGAGAGACCTCAGTTTCTGTGTTCGCTTTCCAAGGGCCACAGCAGCAGACTGCTGCCTTGGCTAGTGGCCTACTCCAAGAAACAGCTGGTCCACAGCTGGGGTTGRTCCCTGTCCCAAACAGGACAGAAGTGGAGGTAGTGTGGGAGACAGCCATAAGGGACCTGGCCCCTGTAGTTGTGCCAGCGGGTGGCACTGTGGGACACAGGGTGAGGCTTCTGTGTCTCTGGCAGGTCCAGACCATAGCTGCACAACTCATCTCTGCTCTCTATTACCTGCACTCCCACCGCATCCTGCACCGTGACATGAAACCACAGAACATCCTGCTGGGCAAAGATGGTGTTGTCAAGCTCTGTGACTTTGGGTGAGTGCTGGGGGCCAGCTTGAAGGGGTCACTTGGCCTTGAAGCAACCAAGGYGTGTCCTGGATGCTSTAGAGGAGGAGTGAGGGAATGCAGAAGGTGGCCTGGATTCTGTGCATATTTAGAGGTTAAGCAGAGAGGGGAGATTTTGTCCTCCAGAAGAAAGAAGTATTGGTCAACTCATAGGGRACTTCCTGAGAGCTGGAATGGGTCTTTCAGCCTGAACTTGCGACTTGTGCTTTGCTCTGAGCAGGTTTGCCCGTGCCATGAGCATCCACACCATGGTGCTGACCTCCATCAAGGGCACCCCGCTGTACATGTCCCCTGAGCTGGTGGAAGAACGRCCATATGACCACACAGCAGACCTGTGGTCTGTAGGCTGCATCCTGTATGAGCTGTTTGTGGGCACTCCTCCCTTCTACACAAACAGCATCTTCCAGCTTGTCAGCCTCATTGTCAAGGACCCTGTCAAATGGCCCACAACCATGAGCCCAGTGTTCAAGGTAAGGGCCAAGGCCCTGTCTGAAGGATGAGATCTATTACCACAGTTTTGGCCTCACCTGCTGCCCTGGTGGGTCACTCTTAGTTTTTATGTCCYCTAATAGGGACTTCAGAACACAGAGAAGTGATGAGAGCTGGACCTCTTGGGAGGGGAACCTTTATCACTCTTGTCCATAAGCTGGGAAACTGGGTCCAACAGCAGTGGAGTGATTTATTGGGCTGGGCAGGGAAATGTCTTCCTGTCTGCCCTAAGCACTAGAGCTACTCCTTTCCCAGAGCCAGGCAGGAAAGGCAGGCCTGCTGGGTGCCCTCACTGAGGGTGACTGGTGGGTGTACTATGCTCACTGGTGGGTGCTGAACACATCAGTGATCCTGCTACTGTGCTGCCCTGCAGAGCTTCCTGCAGGGATTACTAATGAAGGACCCCCACCAGCGCCTGTCGTGGCCAGAGCTGCTTTCTCACCCTTTCATTGCTGGACGGGTTACCGGTGAGTACTTAACTCTTTTTCCAAAACTGTCCAGGTCTGTTTCCTTCTACTGCCTGAAGACTGGGTGGACCTCCCTGCCCTGCTATTTTTACTATTCTGGCTATGCCTCCTTCCTCTCAGTGTTTTCGCAGCACTGACTCCTAGCTCCTGCTCCTGATCTTGCTCTGAGTGTCTTGGGATTTCCCTGGGATCTCAAGAGAGATCACTTTCTGCRTCCCAAGGGGCAGCTGCTGCTGAAGTTTTCTTCTTGCCTCCCTAGTCATTGATGACACAGRGGAGCATAAGATCTCTAATCCCTTCACCACCAAGCTGTCCCCAGAGCTGCAGGCCCTGAAGGAGCAGCAAGTCCATTCCATGGCCCCCACGAGCAGCCAATCCAGGATCCTGAGAAAGGCCCAGCAGATGGTTGAAGAGACACAGAAACAGGTGGAGGAAAGTGTGGGGTTCCCCTGGCTACGTCTCACAGTTATGGCAAAGGAGAGGCACTGGAATGGGCCCTGGGGGGAAACACATCAGTACATGGGTCAGGCTGGGATGCCAGCAACACWCAAGGCAGTATTGGGATGCTCATGGTGGTGGGGTCTAGGGGACTCATCTGTCTGAGTAACTGTCCTGACCAAACTTTTCTGCCATCACCAGGGGCAACTGAAGGCATGTGATGCATCTGTTAAGGATTCTGTCGATGGAAATCCCACGCATAGGCTCAGAGCAGCATCACGGAAGGCAGCCCCTGAGGGTGGGGAGCCACTGGCTGCCTCCAATGAGAAGAATCCTGGTCTCCTGCAAGGAAAGAGCAGCATAGCAGAGTGGGAGTTTCAGGAGTCTCCTCCCAACCCAGGGTGAGGGAGGCTGAGGCTGGGGCAAGAGGAAGAGGAAATGGAAAGATCTTCCACTGACTGCGCTGTTTGCTTGGCCAGGCAACAGAGCATCTCTCGAGACTATGAGTGGGAGTTTCCTGGAGCAGGTTCCACTCCACATCCTGGTTCTGGCAGGGCAGAGCCCTGGAGCAGGCACAGCACTGAAGCTGTGGAACTGGAGAGTGAGGTAACATGCTGTCTTGAGGTGAGGATAAGCAGGGTCCAGTCACCAGGGACTAGCAGAGAGACCCTGGGACTGGCAGGGTCTGTGGCACCAGTCCTCTCTCCTCCATGGCTAGGAGCTGGAGAGTGATGAGGAGTGGCAGCACTTGATTGAAGGTACTGAGCCCTCAGCCATGAATCTGACCGTGTCTCTGAGCCTCTTGAGGGACCTGGACTTCCAGAACCGTGTCCAGAACCACCTGGCAGACTCTGCTCAGCAGGTGAGTGATGGCAGACCCAGGCAACTATGACT